TGCATTAGCATTGAATCTCTTGACACTATCACTAAGAAATGCTGACACGATTGAATTGGAAATATGTTCAAGAGCACCACATCCAACCTTGTATAATGCGTTTGTTGGTAAAATTTGCTGTGCTGTTGACATAAGAGTCTCGAGGTATATAATAACCTCATTAATATACTCATTGCCAGACAGGGAAACCTCATCTGCAGTCCAATTTATATTCTCTGTAAGAGCCATAAACTCATCCAACTTGTTGTTCACCAGAGTTAGTAGAGCAAGATAAGCTGCATCTCTGGAAGTTTTCAGGACAACCTTGGCCGTTAAACTAGCTTGAGGCCTCTCAACTGTTCGCATTGGAATCCCACATAATTGGGCTGCATGTCGAAGAAAAAAATCACATGCCCTTTCTAGAGAAGCCAAGTTCGCTGCAATCTGCATAGCCTGTGATACACCAGTAGCACCACTATGAATTGTGTTAAGTATAGCTTCATTTAATACATCAATCAAGAGCTTGTCTAGATACTTCTTCACAACATCATAGTAATTGGTATACAACCCATAGGACAAATAATCAACAGAACCTTTGATGTATGACCGGACAATTCGGCAGACATCTGGTACCATGGAAGAGAATGGTGCAACATATGGGAAAGCTGGCATTATATCTGACACCTGGAGGTTAAATGGTAAAACATTACTTTCATAGTCCACATCCTTTTTCATTACCATCTGCTCAAAAGTATCGTTAGAAAGAACAGTGACAATTTGCTGCCGGCACTCCTCTAGGAGAAGTTTATGGTATTTGTCCCGGCTATTGTCAAGTGCCTCGAGAATTGGACCTACTTCATACCCATATTGTCTAAGAGTTGCCGCAAGGAGAGTGACATAATCTTTCACCAAAAGAAGGTGTGTCGCAGAATCCATGTTAGAAAATTGATCGCCCAACAGAGATGTTATTTTAGCAACAGCTGTTTCCCATATTGTTTCAACCTGATCAGCTGACAGGAGGTCACCTGTAGTCCTGAGGACACGATCCTCCACAATGAAATATCCTGCAATTTGAGCCAAAAAAGTTTGGTACGATTCAACAAATGGCTG